TCAACTAGGACTTACAAGTAGGGAAAAAAAAATGAGCTCAGTAAGACACAAAGCCCTAGGAGGAAGTTAAATGAATACACTAAGGGAAGAAGCCAGTTGAAAAGGCTTCTTGTTGTATGTTGTCCGATCCCGGCTGTATGACATCCTGGGAGAGGCAAAGCTACTGAGTCAATAAAAAGTTGTTGCCAGAGGTTAGTGGGGAGGGAGGGGGGAAGAGGTGGGCACAGAAGATGTTTGGGGCCGTGGACCAGTCCATCTGATACTGCAGCTAATGGTGGACGTGCATCCTTATACATTTGTCAAAACCTATAGCATATACAACACCAAGACTGAGCCTGAATGTGAACCAGGGACTTTGGGTGGTAACGATGTGTCACTGTAGGTCCATCAGTGGTGACAGACGTACACTGTGGGGTAAGATGTCAGCAGTGGAGGAGCTTGTGCCTGGGTGGGGATGGGGGGATGTGGGAACCTCTGCATTTCCAGCTCAGTTTTGCTGTGAACCCAAAGCTATTCTAAAAAAAAAAAACAAAATACAGCTTATTAAGTAATAATAATATTTGAAATGTTAAAGCACAAATATCTAGTTAAAATATCTTAATCATAAATGTATATAGCAGTCTTGCATGTGAGGGCAAATTCTTTAACAAGAAATTAGACTCTTGGCCCAGTGATGCTAATACTTACGCAGAAAGACCTCACAGCTTGTAAAATTCCAGCGTATGAGTTCAGCGAAGGATGAACACAGATGCAACTCTTTCCAGTTAAACGATGCAGTGGAACCATGTGTAGTCTCTCACGAAAGGCGTCTGTAAAGCGAGGAAATCATCTACCTTACGTGGGAAGCTGCAGCGCATGCCGTGTGTGCTTTCCAACCTCACGTGGCACAAGGCTGCGCTGCAGTTTGGTCTCCCACACAGCTGGATTTGCTTGTAGTCCAGCCGCTGCCGAGGTGAGTCCTCCCCCGCCACCCTCCGCAGCTGGCCCAGTTTTACCTGTGCAGGAGCACTTTAAAGGGGGTGCACACTGCAAGGCAGTTCAAAAAAAACAAAAAACAGAGGGAGAAAGAAGGGAGAGTACCAAGCATGGGGGTACGGCAAAGAAAAGTCAAATCCAAAGGCAAACCATGTCTGACAGAGCATCATAAAGACAGTAACAGAATAAATCAGCGCCCAAGAGCATGAACAGAACAGTGAGCAAGGAAGGAGGGTGACCGTGAAGGAGAAAGAACCGGGGGAGGAAGCAGCTCAGACACAGGGAGGGAGGAAGGAGCGAAGAACAAGAGAGGAGTGCTGGGACTTGGACCAGCGGGGCTTCACATCCCTTCTGTCGGGCCTCTTGGAATCCTTGCTGATGCACGGGCAGCTTTACCCCCCAGGGTAAACATTGGGCAGTGTCTGCGGACATCATGGTTGTCACACTGAGGGGGTCTTTGGTGGGTCAAGGCCAGGCATGCTACTAGGATGCACAAGACAGCCCCCACAGCCACCCATAACCCAGCAAAATAATTCTCTGGGCAAACTGTCGAGTGATGAGGTTGACAGACTGCCTTGGCCGGCAGCTCCCAGTCCAGGCTCCCAGTGACCGTGTTTCAGTCTACCCCCCACCCCCGTTTTCTGACCTGTATGCATGTTAGGCTGCACGTAAGTCAAATTGATGGTCACACCCCAGAAAAGAAATTAAAATTTGGCTAAGAGGGTTTATTCAAAGTAGAGAATGCTTTCTTCTATCCCTTCTCTTAACTAGAACTCGGTGAGGATCTGCTGCGTGCCTGTGACTGCCAGCGCCTGCCTTAAACGCAGAACTTGAGAGCGGCTTGTCAGGGCTGGGGACAGCAGGGGGATGGGGGTGGGTATGGGGGGGTGACTGCAGAGTCATAATAGAAGGGGATAGATTGTATTTGTGGTGATAAGTTAGCTCCCTGTGTTGACTGCACTGGCGGCTACGGGAATCTTCCCACTGGGTGAAATGGCATAAACCTGTACCGTGTCAGCTCCCTGGTTCTGGGTGTTGTACTAAACTTACGTAAGGTGGAACCAGTGGCAGAAATTTAGGACAGTGTACACAAGACCTCTCTGTACAATATTTGCATCCTTCTGTGCATTTATGCTTATTTCAGAATAAAAAGTTAAAGCAAAAAAAAACTTAAAAGGAAAAATGCAAGACTGGCTGCACAATTAGGGAAAGATGTCACTCTAACCAGGGCAGATGGGAACGGTCAACACCCAGGACTGTCTACCAATGCATAAATGGAAAGGACTGAAAAGGCAACACACTCAGAGTATGGTGTGGAAAACTGGGAAAGCAGGCTTGTTTTTTAATTAAAAATGGACCTATTTGGATGTAGCGCCACTAAGAAATGAATATGCCCTTTTGTGGAACCAAAATATTTCTATTTCAGTGGAAGATCTCTATGGTCAAACTGTACCAACCAGGCATGGCTTAGCGAGCGCTGTCTAACTGCGTGTTTTGTTGCAGGGACAGGCGGACCTTCTGAAATACGCCAAGAACGAGACCTTGGAGAACCTGAAACAAATCCACTACGCTGCTGTTTCCTGTGGGCTGAATAAACCCGGCACAGAAAACGCCGACGTTCACAAGCCGCGCCGGAGCCTGGAAGTCATACCTGAAAAAGGAAACGACGAAACTGGAGAATGAGGGAACTTTCTCGAAATCATTTCAGAGCTGATCACTCCAGGACCAATCGTAGCCAAGTGGGACACTTGCTTTGCACTCACGAATGAAAATAATATTGGAGATTTTACAGCACAACTGGAACAGCCGATGACAGTCTGTGAAAACTGTGAATGTATTTAGCAGCCCTGCGTGTGAAGCCTAATAAACTCTTCAACTAGAAATTATATTCCTGGCCCAGATATGCTATATTTGTACACAAAGACATCCTAACTCAGTTGCAGTGTGAACCGCACACTGTCTCTCTACTAGTCACTCTAGTTCCATTGAGAAGCAAACGTTTTCCTAACTGAAAACAATGTCTTAAGATGGAAATGGATTGTACTGTCTAATGACTATTTATTGGGGAAAAGCCTACTCTGTGAGTTCTACTTTTGTATGACTGCCGGGGTCTCTGGGTCGCAGGTGACTGGGGTGGCAAGCCTGCTGAGCCACGGTTACTAAGGGAAGTGTGACTGTACAGCCTCCGTGAACTTGCGGAGCCGCCGGGGGGAGGCGGGGGCACCGCAGCCGGACGGGAGCTCCCGGCCGGAGTCACGTGCTGGGTACACGGATGATGTCCAAGTAGTCAACCTGGAAGCAACACACTGTACATAGTTTTTCATTGTACGGAGTAGTGTTCACATTAAAAAGATGTTTTATGATATTTCTCCAATAGCGGTGCGTGCATTTAATGAATGTTCAGTTTTCAAAACTTATGGTCCACGATGTTCTGTTCTGAAGAGCAGCCGATGACCTGGTGAACAGCTATCAAAGATAAGGTGCATTTTGCTTTCAGTCCAGTGGCCACGACTTGACACACTGGCAGCTTTCTGCCAAGCAAACCCACACGTCTCCCAGCGTCCCGGGTCTCACCGGAGTGACGTGTGCTTTAAAGTGGTGCCGACAGTCAGCAGACAACAGGTGCAGGTGCGGGCAGCTCTCCCCTGCCCGCTGAGTCTTTAGTCCAAGATTTTATTTTCTAAATCAATGATACTTTGTGCGATTTTTGCAAAGATCCTGGACATTGCTGCCTAATTAACTGCTTCTCCCAAACCAAACCGCTCTCCAATTTTGGGAGAGGAAAAGTGATCTAAATCTTCAAAAACTGCTTTTTGATGTGTCTATTTTCTTATCCAGGATTCAGGTAAGTGAGCCACATAACTATGTGGAATCTCCAGATTGGGGTCTCATGACTGATTTCCTCACAGTTAGGGAGATGCTCAGGCTCATATGTTAAATTTATTTCTGCCCAGACACCTAAACATCCTTTAAAAAAAAACAAAGACAACCCCTTTGCCCAGTTCTTGTCATCTGCATGCTGACACTGTGCTTAAATTAAGGTGTGCACTTCCACTGGCTCTTCGCTCAATGTCATTCCGGTTAAAAAATTTAAACCTCTCCGTTACATGGATAATAGTGCAGTTTCCTGCTCACACCAGACAGAAACCAGCCAGTAGCTTAGGCTTTTAGGTCTGAAATGAACACTACACAGGATTTTTTTTTTAAAAATAGCCCTCCAAAAACAAATAGAAAAAAAAGAAATCAAAAGTTGATTTACAGACTGAGAAAATAATATGTAATTTAGATTATTGTTAACAATCTTTGACCTTGACAGGCAAGTAAACAATATTCAATTTAAAGTAAAAATCCAGAAATCCTAAAAAAAAAAACAAGATTTTTAAAATAAAACAAAATTGAAGAAAAATGCTGCATTTATAGTAATGGCAGGCATTATCTAATATGTGACTTGAATGACTCTGAGAGAAGGCACATGTAATTTGCTGTGGTTCATGCCAGCTTTCAGACTCATCAAACTCAAGAACTGAAGGAGCCTGTGAGATCAGTGGTTCCACCGGACACATCCTCTCCCAGATGCAGACATCGCAGACAAGAGCAATAAAAGGCACAGCCTGGGGTCACAAAGTCTGTTAGGGGGAGTGACCCAGCCCAAGGTTTGCTCCAGTTTTCTGAGCTGAAAGAAAATAAATAAATAAATAAAGCAACCTTCCTTTGACCTGTCTCTTCAAAGGAACAAGCCAAGTAATGGGAAAAAGGAGGCACGCTTTTTGAGGAGTTGTTCCCAAAGCCACAGTGTTTCTCCTGTTTGTCTAGCTCCTGCCCCAGTGAGCACGTTCCCCTTCATTTAAGACAATGACCCAAATCAGCACAGCACACATTCGCCCCGTAAACTGGACTAATGTATACATTTGTCACCTTGTACACACACTACATCCCCCTAATTAGGGGAGATGTCTCATCAGAAGCATGTGAAAACTGGTAGTCATCCAATCAGAACAGCAGAAAGACAACTGGAAAAAAATGAAAGCAATATAAGAGACCTATGGGATAATATAAATCATGCTAATCTGTGCGTAATAGGGGTCCCAAAAGGGGAAGAAAAAGAAAAGGAGATCAAAAACATTACTTGGAGAAATGGCTGAAAACTTCCCAAACTTACAGAAGGAAACAGATAGGCAGGTACAGGAAGCACAGAGGGTCCCAAACAACTTGAACCCAAACAGACCTACACCATGACATGTTATAATTAAAACGGCAAAAGTTAAAGATTCTAAAGGCAGCAAGAGAAAACCAGAGTTAGTTACAAGGGAGCCCCCATAAGGCTGTCAGCTGATGTATTTACAGAAAATTGCTGGCCAGAAGGGAGTGGCAAGATATATTCAAAGTCCTAAAAGGGAAAAACCTGCAACACAGCATACTCTACAAAGCCAAGGCTATCATTTAGAACAGAAAGAGAGAGAAAGAATTTGTTGGACAAGCAAAAACTAAACACAGCAATACTAAATGTAGCCCAAAATAAACATTGAAAGACCTTCTCTAAACAGTAGAGAAGCAACAATCTATAGAAAAGTGAAAATCACGATTGGAAATGCAATAACTACAATGAACAGCAAAAGAAAAAACATGAAGATGTAAAAGAGGACATCAAAAATCGTAAAATGTGGAGGAGGGGAATAAGATGTATATTTTTTCTTTCTTTTTAGAATGTGTTTGAGCTTAGATGATTCCCAGTCCAAAGCAAGGAGATACAGTAAGGGGTTAACACACTTGAAAAACAGGGTAACTACAAATCAAAAACATACAATACAGTCACAAAAACCAAAAAGAAGAGAAGTCAAGCATAACAAAAGAAAATCATGAAACCACTAAAGGAAAAAGAAAAAGAAACAGAATAAATATAAAATCAACTAGAAAACAAGGTTGAAAATGGCAATCAATACATATCTATCAATAATTATCTTAAAAGTCAATGGACTAAATGCTCCAATCAAGAGAGTCACAGATTAGATAATAAAACAAGAGCCTACAATATGCTTCCTAAAAGAGACCCACGTTAAGGTGAAGGACACATATAGGTTGAAAGTGAGAGGATGGAAAAAGGTATTTCATGCAAATGGAAATGACAAGAAAGCAGGGGTAGCAATACTCATATCAGACAAAAGAGACTTTAAACAAAGGCCATAAAGAAAGACAAAGAAGGACACTATATAATGATCAAAGGAGCAATACAAGAAGAGGATATTACACTCATTAACATATATGCACCCAGTATAGGGGCACCTAAGTACACAAAACCAATACTAAGAGACATAAAGTGAGAAACCGATGGGAATATAGTAATAGTAGGAGACTTTAACACCCCACTAACATCAGTGGACAGGTCTTGCAGACAGAAAATCAGTAAGGCAACACAGGTCCTAAATGACAGGATAGAACAGTTGGACTTATTTGATCTTTGCAGGATGTTATATCTAAAAAAAAAATCAGAATATATATATATATCTTTTAATTTTATTTTATTGAGTTATGTCAGTTTACAATGTTCTGTCAATTTCCAGTGTAGAGCACAACTTTTCAGTCATACATGAACATATATATATTGTCACATTCTTCAGAATATATTCTTTCCAAGTGCACATGGAATATTCTGTACGGTAGACCCCATACTCAGACATAAAATAAGCCTCAAATTTAAGATAGAAATTATTTCAAGCATCTTTTCTGACCACAATGGCATGAAACTACAAATCAACCACAGAGAGACAAATAAGAAAAAAAAATCAGTGTATGGAGACTAAACAACATGCTACTAAAAGAAAACCAATGGGTTAATGATGAAATCAAGAGGAAATTTAAAAATACCTTGAGACAAATGACAGTGAAAGCACAACCACACAAAAATCTATGGGATGCAGCAAAAGCAGTCCTAAGAGGGGAGTCCCTAGTGATACAGGTCTCAGATAAACAACGTTACGTACCACCTAAAAGAATTAGAAAAAGAATAACAAACAAAAACTAAAGTCAGCAGAAGGAAAGAAATAATAAAGATCAGAGAGGAAATAAACAAAATAAACATTAAAAAAAGGTAGAAAAAAAATCAATAAAACCCAGAGCTTGTTTTTTTTAGAGAGTGAATAAAATGGACAAACCCCTGGCCAGGTTCACCAGGATAAAAAGAGAGAACACACAAACAAAGTAAGAATGAAAGAGGAGAAATTACCCAATAGCACAGAAATACAAAAAACCACAGAAGAAAACTATGAATAATTGTATGCCAACAAACCGGACAACCTAGAAGAATGGACCAGGCTCTAGAGACATACAGCCTACAAAAACTGATACCCAGAAGAAATACATAATTTGAACAGATCTATCATTAGAAGTGAAAAGGAATCTGTAAAAACAAAAAGCAAAAACAAAAAAACTACCCTATGAACAAAAGTCTGGGACCAGGTCCCTTCAATGGGGAATTCTACCAAAAATACAAAAAGGAACTTACACAGATTTTTCTCAAAGTTTTTCAGAAGATTAAAGAGGAGGGAATACTCCCAAACTCATTCTATGAAGTCACCATTCACTCTGATACCAAAACCAGACAAAGACACTACTAAAAAAAAAAATTATAGGCCAATATCTTTGATAAATATAGATGTAAAAATTCTGAACAAATATCAGCAAACCAAATCCAACGACATATAAAAAAGATCATACAGTACAATTTAGGTGGATTTATCCCAGGGACACAAGGATGGCTCAACATACATAGATCAATCAATGTGATATGCCACATCCACAAAAAAAAGAACAAAAACCACATGATCATCTCAATAGGTCCAGAAAAAGCATTTGATAAAATTTAACATCCACTCATGATAAAAACTCTTATCAAAATGGGTATAGAGGGAACACATCTCAACATAATAAAAGCTATTTCTGACAAACCATAGTCAACATAATACTCAATGGTGAAAAGTTGAAAGCCTTCTGCTAAAATCTGGAACATGACAAGGATACCCACTAGTGCTTACCTCTTCTATTCAACATCATATTGAAATTCTTATCTATAGCAGTCAGATGAGAAAAAATAAATAAAAGGGATCCAAATTGGAAGGGAAGAGGTAAAACTGTCACTATATGAAGATTACATAAATAGAAAACCCCGAACACTCCACACAAAAACTCCTATAGCTGATAAAAGAATTTGGCAAGGTAGCAGGATACAGGATTAATATACAGAAAATCTGTTGCACTTCTTTACACTAACTGATAAGGAAATATCAGAAAAGAAAGTAAAGAAACAAACCCTTTTAAAATTGCATCCAAAACAATAAAAATACTTAGCAATAAATCTGACCAAGGAAGTGAAAACCGTAT